GTCAACCAGCTGATGACCAGCTTGCATCAGCTAGTGACCGATTAATGACCAGCTAGAAATGGCATAAAACATAGTTAGGACTTTCTCCATCCTTTATGACAGTGCTTCTGAAATGTTTTCAGCTGGTGGACCACATTAAACCAAAAATTGTGGCCCACCTAACACTCTAGGTCTGGGGAGAAACAACAGCTGCCTACATTTTTAAGTAGTATATAAATTATTCTCAGTTTATAGCCTTGAAACCTGAGGCTGTTTTAAAACATGAGGCTGTTTTAATAATAGTTTATTATTAGGTAATTAATGTTGGTGCATTTTGTCTTTTATATTTTGAATTTTTTAAATGACTACATTTAGAATTTATTATGAAATCTATTATTATTCATCAAGATTTATAAATGTGCTTATTTAGTTCTATTTTAATCCTTTACCAACTCAAGTCACCTGCAGGTCACTGATTGAGAACCAGTGTTTTAATGCCATCGCCTACCTCTGTTTCCTTTTACGATTTTCACTGCTTTCTCTCCCCATTTCCCTCTTTGCTCCATTCATATCTCTGATCTCCTGTCCTGTCCCACTCTCTTATGTTTTCTCCTCCTATTTACCTTTTTTTCACTCTCTCTATCTGCATCTTTTTCTTCAAGCTGACAGATCAGTCCCTTCTCTCCTCCCTCTGTCTCTCTCTCTGATCATATCTTTGAACAAGTAGTGATTACTGACATACAGAGACTGATGAATTATTCACCGAAGAGAGACAGAAAGTACAGCGAAAGGAAGGAAAACAGCAAGAGGGAGGAAGAGGGGTGGAAGGAGAGGAGTCAGATGGAGGGTGAGAAAGGAGGAGGAGGGCAAAGGAGACGAATGATGAAGATGGTGCTAGATGAGGATGGAAAGCATGATGCCTTTCCTGTAATGTTTCAGAAGAGATTGTGTCTATATGCAGTCATGCGAAGGTTTCAGAAATGAAATCAAAATTTCATAATTGTTTTGCTTATAGTATGGCCCATATGTGCACTATTGCTGAAGGGTATTAATGCTGTCAAGCATACAGTAACAAAGTGAAACAGGACAAAATACTATTTTTAACCTTACGTTTCTGTCTAAAACATGGGTTTTAAAATGGTAAAAGACAGCTGTTAATTTAGATTTGGATTTGAACCTTTATACAATCTTTATAATACATAAAATCCACAATTATATATTTACCTTATAATCATGTACATAGAGAGAGAGAGAGAGAGAGAGATTTGTACACTAAAATGTAGTTTTACAGTTTGAATATAACCTAATTTCTTTAACATGTTATATATGTATTACTAAATTAATGTATTATATACTGCTCCCATGTAATGAAGCATGGTGGAAGAACACAATTTCTCACAATATTAAAATTTTACCAAAGGCTTCTAAAAAGGAGCCAAACCACATGATTCAGACTTTGACGTTTTTCTTCTTTCCCATTTTATGTTGGATTACTGAAATCCCTGTTTTATGACTGTCTGCAGTCCAAATAATTTTTCTTCCTGTTATTCAAGTTTAAATTCCTTTATAACTTCCTGTAAGATGTAGCCAATTCAATAAAAATTCCAAATTATAAATTGAAAGGGATCCAGTTCTGAATTTTGCCCAACCCTGACTGATTCTTTGGAGACCTGCAAATGTGTGAGCATTGCATGGAGGAAAACAGTAGTTGGGAGCAGAAGCAAATATGGTGGAACAAAAACTGAGAAAGACTGCATGACAGAAAGGAAAATGAAGGGCGAGCTGATAGTCATACGATATAACCTCCTTGCATAATAGAAATTACTGAGTAGCTCAAGGTAGAACCACCCTGGGGGCTTTTAGAGCTGGTGGGTGTTGCATTTGAGGAAGTGATGTGAGTGCAGGGTAAGCAGAGGATCTATGTGGGTGTGAGATCTGAATAGAGCTCTCGAGAGTCAGGCTGACAGACAGGCCCTTTGTTTTTCTTGATTGGCAGGCACTTGTTTGTCCCTGCTTGTTGGAGAGTCGCTGTTTGGTGCTGAAACCAAGTTGCCAAAGTCAAATTTTTTCAAGTGACTCACTCATGCACACGCTTAGAAATTGTTATTAAAGGCTGCATGATTGAAAGCTCATACTCTGTGAGAGACAGAGTCATAAGGCTTAATCACAGTTTAGAGGACATCTTTGTGGAAATTGGCATTGGCATTGACACTTTTTCTGCTTGGAAATAAATCCATCGTTTTCTTGGCTTTGTATTCAGATAAGAGCTAGTGAATGTTGGGAGAGCCGGTGGTAATTTACAGGCACAATGCGCCATCTTTTCTTTTTCTCCTTCTGATCCTCTCTCTGCACTTCCTTCGGTTTCTCCCAGTCATTCCCCAAGCGCAGCATCTGTCTGCCAACGCTACCTCATTTGTACATTTTTCTTTTCAAATATCTCAGTGTTCATCCTCCCAGGTTATGCAATCAAGCTTGTTGGGAACTGAGAACTTAGTTGCATTTAAAAAAAAAATACTGTAACCGATTGATTTCCATGATGTTCGTTTCCAAATATTGTTCTTTAACGTCTGCATTCATCTACCGATGATTTATTTCTGAACCGCTTCTGAATCTACGGCGCTATGGAAAAAAAAATAATGTGAGTTTGCAATGTGAATTGAATGTGATGAGAGAGAAAGATGGCAAAATTATACACAGATAATAAATAGACAATAGAAGTCAAAAATAAAAGAGAAATGATAGTTAAAGGCACAATATGTAATTTTCGCCGCTAGAGGGCACATCTTCAAAATAAAGAAAGAGGCAAAGGCGTAGTTTGATGAGTGTGGAATCATGGGAGTTGTCGTCTTCATCCCCACAGCCGATGCAATCTGACGGGACTCGGGCAGAAATCATGTTCATGGATGAGCTAATGATTTATTAACGTAGTAGAATGAAGCAGGGTGAGGCTGAAAGCCGTCGAAGCGAAACGAGGCCGCTGAACGAGCGTGACACATGGCTCGAAAGCAGCAGAGCTTTTATTATGCCTCAGTCGACCACTTCTGCTCCTTCCGGTCGTGTGTATGTGGGAAAAAAAGCAGCGCTGTTTTATCATACTAGATACATTTGAAAGTTCTGTTATAATGCTACTCTGTGCGGTCGTCACCGGTCTATTAAAGCGTCTTTGGTGTTTCCATGTTTTCTACAAAACAGAACCGGAAATCGAGGGGTTATGACATCATTGGCAGGCGACACAATGACACTATAGACACGGTCCGTGTCACTAGTTAAAATTGCTTATTTCTCTGGATTTAAACATTCTTTGAAACATTTGGGATAATGTAAGTACACAAGTCAGCAAAATATATAACACTGTTCTAGTGGATTTTAATAAAAAAATCTTACATATTGTGCCTTTAAGGCAGCATATATGAACAAATATTGCCGTATTTTTAATCAGGCACTCAATAAAGTACCCCAAAAGAAGTTCTATTATTGCTTTGGGGTCCCGGTAGGTTAGGATTTTGACAGCGGGATAGGATTTAGTCACAAAATCTGTTCTTTGTAATGAACTGGTCAAAAAGACAGTGAGTTGTCAGTTTGAATCAGTCTAATGACTCACTCACTGACTGAATCGATCACTGAACCACAACTCGAAATGAACCGAGAACGCCTACTGTGTGCTGTGTGTACTTAAGGCTTGTGATACTTGTAATATATGACTGTTTTCTTATAACAATCCGAAATATTAAAATGAATTAAATATAAATACTTATATTTTTTTTTTATAAATTGCTCTGAAGGATTTTTTTTTACTTATTGGAGTAGTTTTGTGCATGTGTTTTTGTATGAATTGTATACAAAAACAATTAACAATTTGTAAAATTGTTTAAAATAAACTAATGTTTAAATACAGATATTCTGAACTGTTTTGAATGGAACTTTAACAAAATATAAATAATGTTATAAAATATTTTTTAATTAGGTTATTGAATTTAGTAGATGAGTTTTGGTTTTATGTATTGTAACAAAGTTCGTAGTTCGGGAAGAAGGAGGCGGGAACCGGCGGACATTTAAACAAAACTTTAATAAAATAAACACAAAACAGTGCGACAGCCCCTCGCGGACGACTGTCGCGCACAAACAAAACCAAAACACAAAATAAAGTCCAGGCCTGGTCCTCTCTCGCCTTTCACTGTCGTCACTCCTCCTTTTTATCCTTCCGGAGCTCCTCCGTGAGACTCGAGACCGGTGAGTGGCGCAGGTGTCGCTCATTAGCAATTACTCCACCGGCCTCGCTCCGTTCCCACGGCTCTCGGCCCCGCCCCTCTCGTCACATGTATGTATATATATCATTTAGTAAATAGTTAGGACCAATTATTCAAGTCCTACAAGAATCATTAGAATAATTATTAAGTAACCAGAAGCGTTCAGTGGAACTTAACCCAGAATCATATAATTTCTAACTTTTTTATTGAGTATTTGTGTTTACTATGTAGTTAGGACCAGTTATTTGAGTCTTAATAGAATCATTGGTGTAATTATTAGGAACCGGAAGCTTTCATTGAAATTTGAAATAGAATCGTTACATTTCTTTCCTTTTTTTAAATATAAAGTATACTGTATGTGTTTTGTATATAGATATGACCAATTATTCAAGTCCTAAAATAATTATTAGTGTAATTATAAAGGAACCGGAAGCATTCATTGGAATTTGAACCAGAATCATTCAATTCCTTGCGATTTTTGTTACTTCTCAAGGTTGTAATAAATCAAACTCTTCTCTCTCTCAGCATTCATTGGAATTTGAACCAGAATCATTAAATTTCTTACTTTTTTATATAAAGTATATGTGTTTAGTATATAGTTAGGACCAATTATTCAAGTCCTAAAGAAACCATTAGTGTAATTATAAAGGAACCGGAAGCATTCATTGTAATATGAACCAGAATCATTAAACTCCTTAGGATTTTTGCTACCTCTCAAGGTTGTTATAAATCAAACTCTCTCTCTCTCTCTCTCTCTCTTTCTCTCTGTTTCAGAGATCTCAGTGAGTCTGCTCTCCGTCATTGTAACGTTCTGTGGCATCGTGCTGCTCTCTGTCTCTCTCTTCGTCTCCTGGAAGCTCTGCTGGTTGCCGTGGAGAGATAAGGAAGGCGGGGGTCTGAGCTTGATGTCGGGGCTCCTGCCCGGCGGTGCCGGTTTGGGTGGGGTTGGAGGTGGAGGGGGTGCCTCTCTCCTTCCTCCCTTGTTGCAGAGGAAAGATACTCAATCCTCTTCCTCGCTGTATCCCTCGCTCTCGCAGCATGGTCAGCCTCACCCCCATTTCTCCGACCTAACGGGGGTGGAGGGCGGAGGGGGGCTGGTAGTG